TATTAAATACCACCTCACCCCATCCACCTCACTCAAATGTAGATATAAACAAATCGGAGATATGTAAGTTCTATTTAGTTGTGTATGTGTAAAGTCTTTGAAAATGTAATAAGTTTTACGAAACGCGCTCAAGTGTCGCGTCAGACTAGAAATAAAAATGAATTTTGGAGAATTGATTTTTTAATTACCTCCAACAGTGAAAAGAAATGTACGAAAGATTGAGAAAATTCGTGTTACAATTATTAATCTTACTTTTTCGGTCAATTTTTTTTTCAATATATATATATATATATATATATATATATATATATATATATATATATATATATATATATATATATATATATATATATATATATATATATGTCGTACCTAATAGCCAGAACGCACTTATCAGCCTACTATGCAAGGCCCGATTTGCCTAATAAGCCAAGTTTTCATGAATTAATGTTTGTTCGACTACCTAACCTACCTAACCTAACCTAACCTAACTTTTTCTGCTACCTAACCGAACCTAACCTATGAAGATAGGTTAGGTTAGGTTAGGTAGGGTTGGTTAGGTTCGATCATATATCTACATTAATTTTAACTCCATTAAAAAAAAATTGACCTCATACATAATGAAATGGGTAGCTTTATCATTTCATAAGAAAAAAATTAGAGAAAATATATTAATTCATGAAAACTTGGCTTATTAGGCAAATTGGGCCTTGCATAGTAGGCTGATAAGTGCATTCTGGCTACTAGGTACGACATATATATACATATATATATATATATATATATGACAATGTCAGACCACGGAGAAAAAATTAAATAGGAAATTTCCTTAAGTACTTTCGTATATTAAATACATCTTCAGAAGGTCACATTCTTAATCACGTGTTTATTTTCGTGATATACACACACACATATATATATATATATATATATATATATATATATATATATATATATATATATATATATATATATATATATATATATATATATATATATATATTTTTTTTTTTTTTGTTTTTGTTTTGAGATATATACAAGAGTTGTTACATTCATGTACAGCCACTAGTACGCGTAGCGTTTCGGGCAGGTCCCTGGAATACGATCCCATGCTGCGAAGAATCGTTTTTTCATCCAAGTACACATTTTACTGTTGCGTTAAACAGAGGCTACAGTTAAGAAATTGCGCCCAGTAAATCCTCCCCGGCCAGGATACGAACCCATGACATAGCGCTCGCGGAACGCCAGGCGAGTGTCTTACCACTACACCACGGAGACTGTAACATATATTGCAGACATATAGAAGTAACGAGATGTAGGAAAGAGCAGGCTAAATCTCTCTTGAATGAGATTACTGTCACAATATATATATATATATATATGCAATATATATATATATATATATGCAATATATATATATATATATATATATATATATATATATATATATATATATATATATATATATATATATATATATATATATATATATATATATATATATATATATATATATATATATATATATATATATATATATATTGTGACAGTAATCTCTTTCAAGAGAGATTTAGCCTGCTCTTTCCTACATCTCGTTACTTCTATATGTCTGCAACATCAAGATACCACATTCAAGAATATTATAGAAGTGGAATAACAGACGTCTCTACTAGGGGATGGGGGTACAGTCACTCCAATCCCTCCTCCTTACTGTCGCCGCACCACCCTCGTCGATCACCAAGTTACCACTTCAAACCAACGCTCTTCCCATTAGTGAATCAGCGACTTCACACGACTCCAGCGTCATCTGCATCGCCCATATATATAGTCTTGCAGGAGCAGTTGGTCTCATAATATTCTTTGTGCTCTAGAGCTGACGCTTCTATGTAAGCATACGTCCTGTATACTAAGTGGAGGTTTTAGCCAGCCAATATTCTCGTTAAATGGTGTTAATCGAGAAATGGAGAGAATTTCTATTTCCTCCATAGAGTTTGGATATAACAGATAAAACTGTTATATAGAGACAATTTAAGTTAACAACTCGTAATTATTGAATCACTAGTCATAATATTATCAGAGATTAATTCTTATAAAAAATACTGGTAAAAGTTGAGAATAATATTCAATTCTTTAACATATTATAATAACTATGTCCTGCTGGACATTATCTGACGCAATATACCTCTCGATATCGTGAGAATTTTAGTAAATGATGCGTAGATAGAGAAATATTAATTTATGTTAGCACTACAGTTAGTAGAGTTAATAGTTACTGTACTTAGTATACGATAGAGATGTATTATGATACAATAGGAATGTATCAGTGCTGGAAATTTCCAACAATAAGAAAGCTTATGATCGGTGCCCACATTGGGTCTTGTTGTTGTGCCATTTCTACATCTTGCAAGTCTAATTAAGGGTATTCAATTGAATAGAAGCGACGTAGTGGGAGAGGGCATCGGCAACTACATTATGTCAACCAGGTAAGTATCCAAACGTGGGTAGGAACTCTAGTATTGTTAGCGACCAACGGGCAAACTTGCCTATTGAGTTCTTTTCTTCGAACAAGGGAATAATGGCTAGGTGGTCCGTCAGTACATAGACAGGGTAGTTGTAGATGATGTCTCTGAAATGTTTGAGAGCCCACACTACAGCTAAAGCATCACGTTCTGTTGTCGAGTAATTCTTTTCTGCTCTGGAGAGGACTCAGTTTGCATATGCAATTGCATGTTCTTTTCTGTCGCAAGTTTGTGATAGTAAGGCTACTAACCCAATATTACTGGCGTCGGTGACCAAGATAAATGGTTTGGAGAAGTCTGGGAACTTGAGAATGGGAGCAGATATCAAAGCCTCTATAAGTTTTTTAAACGCTTTCTCCTGATCTGCTGTACAAACGAACGGGTCGTCTTTCTTAGGGAGGTGAATGAGAGGAGACTCAATCCCTGAGTAGCCAGCGATGAAATGGCCGTAGAATCCTGCTAGGCCTATGAACGTTTGTACATCTTCAACTTTATGAGGGGCAGGATAGTTCTTCACAGTGTCCATCTTTGAGTCAAGAGTGGTGATGTCTTGTGGGATGACATTATGGCCTAGAAACTTTATTTCTTTTCATAAAGACACATTTGCTAAGTTTGATTTTCAGATTATTTTTAGATAGTTTCTGTAGGACACGTTCTAAACTTTGAAGTTGGGTTGGTACGTCCTTGGACATGATTATGAGGTCATTTAGGTAAACCACGAGAGTATTACCTATCATTCGTCAGAACATGTTTGTCATAAGTCTAGAGAAGATAATAGGGCTGCTGCATAAGCCAAAAGTCATGCGTGTGTACTGGTAATGACCGGTAGGGACTGAAAACGCTGTCAGTTCTCGGCCTTCTGATGAGTCAAGTGGTATTTGCCAAAATCCTTGTAATAGATCAAGTGTAGAGAAAACTTTATTCTGGCCTATGTTCTGCAATAAATCAGTGAGCACGGGAAGTGGAAATCTATCAGGTATCGTCACTTGGTTTAGTTTTCTGAAATCAACGATGGGGCGCCAAGAGCCATTCTTCTTGGGTACTAAGATCAATGGACCATTCCATGGAGAGGTACTTTCTTCAATAACACCTCCATATATCATCTCGTTAATAAATCGGTCTGCAACAGCTCGTTGAGAATGAGACAACCTGTATGTAGGTACATAAATTGGTCGAGTACCTGGTTCAAGAGGAATTTTGTGAGTGATGAGGTGTGTCAGTTCAAGTTGTTCTCCTGTCAGAGCAACAACAATTCGATGTTTGTTGAGGATGGTTAGTAACTGAGCTTGGGCGTCTGGGAAGTCAGTGGGACTAAGACGTTCAGTTGAGACCGTTAACCTATTTTGATTTGTCGAACGAGAGAATGCATGTCCATTTGTTCAGTAGAGGCCTCATCCACTACTCGCACCGGTAACGAATAATGGGTGAAGTCTACAACATGTGTGCCTGATGTGAAGTGAATGTTGGCCTTGGTGACACTGGCAACATAAACAGCAATAGTGTCGTTCTGTATCTGATGAGAGAACGGCTCTCTGTAAGTACCCTTTATTTTACATTTGTCACTGTCTGCTATTACGTGATCTAGGTCAGGTACACCAGGAATTTTGACAATAACCTTTGTTAGTGGGTGAGAATGTAGTATTGTGTCTTGGTGTAAGTTGCCTCTGACTTGATTGATGTTAGATTCTAGGCACGTAAGGTAATGAACAATTGATGGGGGGGGGGGCCCCTGCAAAGATTCATTGACTTCACCAACCTGTGAGACTGTGTGATTGCGTGATGGACTGGTGTCAGTAGGTGACTGAGTGGCAACTTCGTTTGGGTGTGATTGGTAAAGTGTATCCTGGTCACTCCTGTCTTTTATGTAACTGATATAGTCCCTTTGGTTGGTGAACTCGTGTCCCATTGCGAACACACCACAAAGAGGTACTACTGTGTCACCAATTCTTGTTTCCCAATGGTAAGCATCGATAGCAATTCGGTAGTCTCACATAGTGTTCAGTCCTAGTAAGATGTCTCCTGGAAATTGAATATTATCTACTAGGAAACACGTCATGGCGAGTGATCTGTCATCAACTGTCATCTTCCCCCAACACTGCCGTCATTCCTCCAGAAACTCCACTAAGGTTGGGGACATAGTGGGCGTATGATAAGTTTGTCATGTATGTCATGCAAAGTGGTTTGTTTGATGATGTTGACTCTAGCTCCTGAGTCTAGAAAAAATTTAACTTGTCGACCTTTCAGGGTGGCTGAAATCAGAGGTATTTCTGTGTCTTTGTTAGGCATGTTATTATGAAACTAGTGTGGACGAAGTGGTGTCTGGAGCACATGACTGTGTATACACAGTCACGCTATATATACTGTATACGCTGACAGTATATATACTGTCAGCGTCTAGGTGATGTATGGTATCCTCCACTGCTAATACATTAAATCTGTTAAGGGTATTCACTGAGTATGCAGGGAGGTCGTCTCGTTTTCCTACATCATACTGTTTACGATTTCTGCTATGCCTTCCCCCAATTGCGAGTCATAGGTCTGCTCTGGGTGTCCATAGGTCTGGTCTGTGTTATTCATGAAGGCCGTAGCACTGTTTGCCATCCGGGAGTCACAGTGCCCGTCTGTGTTGTGGTTTTCAGTTGTCGCGAACCTAACATGGACAGTAGGTCGGGTTGCAGGAGCACGTGCAGGGCTCAGTCGGCGCTGGTTATGGGTTGCAACACGCGGTTGGTTATGGGCAAGAGGAGCAGGGCTATAGCGGTTAGCTTGGTTAGGAGGAGCAGGGCTATAGCGGTTAGCTTGGTTAGGAGGAGCAGGGCTATAGCGGTTAGCTTGATTAGGAGGAGCAGGGCTATAGCGGTTAGCTTGGTTAGGAGGAGCAGGGCTATAGCGGTTAGCTTGGTTAGGAGGAGCAGGGCTATAGCGGTTAGCTTGGTTAGGAGGAGCAGGGCTATAGCGGTTAGCTTGGTTAGGAGGAGTAGGGCTATAGCGGTTAGCTTGATTAGGAGGAGCAGGGCTATAGCGGTTAGCTTGGTTAGGAGGAGCAGGGCTATAGCGGTTAGCTTGGTTAGGAGGAGCAGGGCTATAGCGGTTAGCTTGGTTAGGAGGAGCAGGGCTATAGCGGTTAGCTTGGTTAGGGTTAGGAGCAGGGCTATAGCGGTTAGCTTGGTTAGGAGGAGCAGGGCTATAGCGGTTAGCTTGGTTAGGAGGAGCAGGGCTATAGCGGTTAGCTTGGTTAGGAGGAGCAGGGCTATAGCGGTTAGTTTGGTTAGGAGGAGCAGGGCTATAGCGGTTAGCTTGGTTAGGAGGAGCAGGGCTATAGCGGTTAGCTTGGTTAGGAGGAGCAGGGCTATAGCGGTTAGCTTGGTTAGGAGGAGCAGGGCTATAGCGGTTAGCTTGGTTAGGAGGAGCAGGGCTATAGCGGTTAGCTTGGTTAGGAGGAGCAGGGCTATAGCGGTTAGCTTGGTTAGGAGGAGCAGGGCTATAGCGGTTAGCTTGGTTAGGAGGAGCAGGGCTATAGCGGTTAGCTTGGTTAGGAGGAGCAGGGCTATAGCGGTTAGCTTGGTTAGGAGGAGCAGGGCTATAGCGGTTAGCTTGGTTAGGAGGAGCAGGGCTATAGCGGTTAGCTTGGTTAGGAGGAGCAGGGCTATAGCGGTTAGCTTGGTTAGGAGGAGCAGGGCTATAGCGGTTAGCTTGGTTAGGAGGAGCAGGGCTATAGCGGTTAGCTTGGTTAGGAGGAGCAGGCTATAGCGGTTAGCTTGGTTAGGAGGAGAAGGGCTATAGCGGTTAGCTTGGTTAGGAGGAGAAGGGCTATAGCGGTTAGCTTGGTTAGGAGGAGCAGGGCTATAGCGGTTAGCTTGGTTAGGAGGAGCAGGGCTATAGCGGTTATCTTGGTTAGGAGGAGCAGGGCTATAGCGGTTAGCTTGGTTAGGAGGAGCAGGGCTATAGCGGTTAGTTTGGTTAGGAGGAGCAGGGCTATAGCGGTTAGCTTGGTTAGGAGGAGCAGGGCTATAGCGGTTAGCTTGGTTAGGAGGAGCAGGGCTATAGCGGTTAGCTTGGTTAGGAGGAGCAGGGCTATAGCGGTTAGCTTGGTTAGGAGGAGCAGGGCTATAGCGGTTAGCTTGGTTAGGAGGAGCAGGGCTATAGCGGTTAGCTTGGTTAGGAGGAGCAGGGCTATAGCGGTTAGCTTGGTTAGGAGGAGCAGGGCTATAGCGGTTAGCTTGGTTAGGAGGAGCAGGGCTATAGCGGTTAGCTTGGGTAGGAGGAGCAGGGCTATAGCGGTTAGTGTGGTTAGGAGGAGCAGGGCTATAGTGGTTAGCTTGGTTAGGAGGAGCAGGGCTATAGCGGTTAGCTTAGTTAGGAGGAGCAGGGCTATAGCGGTTAGCTTGGTTAGGAGGAGCAGGGCTATAGCGGTTAGCTTGGTTAGGAGGAGCAGGGCTATAGCGGTTAGTTTGGTTAGGAGGAGCAGGATTATAGCGGTTAGCTTGGTTAGGACGATGCAGGACTATAGTGGTTAGCTGGGTTAGTATTGCTGTGAGCTCGATAGTCAGCAGTGTCATGGCCGGCAGCTGGTGGTAGGTGCAGAATAGTGCACGTGCAGCTTGGCATCCTGACGTGTCATTGCTAGATCTACGGTGAAAATTGCATTATGGATGGTTGTGATAGTTAATATGGCCTGCATTGTTATGTATGGCATGTGGTTCGTAACGAGTGTTGTTTGATGAGCATTCTACCTTATGGTGGTCTGGTTTGTCACAGTTAAAGCATTCTGATGTTCGCGGGCATGGAGGATACTGAGGAGGGTTAGTCCTGGAGTATGATCTGGGGCCATATGAGGGTGGAGGAGACTTAGCGAGAGGCTGAACGTTACTAGGGAATAAACACGTGACAATGTTCATAGGGTTATGGGGGACTGTTTGCGTTATAAACGGCAGAGTGCTAGGCAGAGTCCCGGTTCTTTAGCCTCTCACTGGAATAACAAAGGGTACTTAACTAGTGCTGAAGGCCGCTGGTGATACAATCCATTCAACGAGGTGTTATGGTGCCCTCTTTTATATCTTCTCTTATCCAGCAAGAAGAGTCATATCTCTGCATCCTGCATGTTGCTTGAGATGCAGGGATTCGTTTGATGTAGGTGACGATTAGCAAGAATACTTATCTGAGGAGAAAATGCCAAGACTAAAATGTCCTTTCAAGAGGCCTTACGTCCTTTAGGTGTACAAGATGGCGGCAGATAAATCAGACTCCTGCCAAGATGTGAGGGCGCCAGCCACTTGGCAATTGGCTAGCCCAGGTCACATGCTGATACTGACCAATGGGGGGCCAGTCCCCGGGCCGGGCCGCGGCGCCTGAGGGCTAGTGAGCGTCAGGAGCTCAAAGTTACACGGCCCTTCGTAGAGACCAAACGTGCGCCAAGTGAGCTCTCGAGATTGGAGGTCTAGGAGTCTCGCCCAGTGGATTTATGCAGCCTGGCGTATGTCATAGCTATTACTGAAAATTAGTGTACTTTCGGTGAGTACGAGGAAGCCGAGTTTCGACGGCGTGAGGGTGCCACGAATTCGTAGCTGATTCGTGGCGCCACGATTTCGTGGTTGAACGGAGGAGGGATGGTGATGCGGTGTGAGCAGTGTGTGGAAGTGCGCTGGCTGGCCCGAACGCGACGCAGAGCTGCGGTGACCGGGTCATGTCCACTGATGATTGGAAGGAAGACATTGCGACTGGATCTTTGAGGATTAGTCTCAGTGAAGGCGCGAGTGAGGGAAGACGAAGAGTGCAGGAACTACTTTCAGAACCAGTAGGAGGAACTGCAATTCTGGAAAGTGAGCACGGTCAAGATCTACGTGTTTCTACACGATGCCTGAGGGCCTGATGTTCCAGTCCAGTCCTGAATGCCAAGGAACGCCCAGGCGACCGAGAACCATATTCGACCACCGGAGTCAAGGCGTCTTGTGGCCGGCAATGTTAAGGTAGATAACTAATTCCCTCCCATTGTTCCATGAGAACTAGGTGAGTTAAACCATTATATATATATATATATATATATATATATATATATATATATATATATATATATATATATATATATATATATATATATATATATATATATATATATATATATATATATATATATATATATATATATATATATATATATATATATATATATATATATATATATATATATAAATATATATATATATATTATTAAATATGACCGAAAAAGTAAGATTAATAATTCTAACACGAATTTTCTCAATCTTTCGTACATTACGCTTCACTGTTGGAGGTAAATCAAAAATCAATTCTCCAAAATTCATTTTTATTTCTAGTCTGACGCGACACGGGCGCGTTTCGTAAAACTTATTACATTTTCAAAGACTTTAGTTCACAAATACACAACTGAATAGAACTTACGTATCTCCGATTTTATATCTACATTTGAGTGAGGTGGAAGGGGTGATGTGGCATTAACACAAGACAGAACAAAGTGTGGTATTAATAGGGTATTAATTTCATCAACACAAGACAGAACAAGAGTATTAATAGGGTATTAATTTCATCAACACAAGACAGAACACGAAACAATGGATATTGAATAGAAGTGTTTGTAGAAAGCCTATTGGTCCATATTTCTTGATGCTTCTATGTTGGAGCGGAGTCTTGAGGTAGGTAGAATATAGTTGTGCAATAATTGGCTGTTGATTGCTGGTGTTGACTTCTTGATGTGTAGTGCCTCGCAAACGTCAAGCCGCCTGCTATCGCTGTATCTATCGATGATTTCTGTGTTGTTTACTAGGATTTCTCTGGCGGTGGTTTGGTTGTGGAAGAGATTATATGTTCCTTAATGGAGCCCTGTTGCTTATGCATCGTTAAACGCCTAGAAAGAGATGTTGTTGTCTTGCCTATATACTGGTTTTTTTGGAGCTTACAGTCTCCAAGTGGGCATTTGAAGGCATAGACGACGTTAGTCTCTTTTAAAGCGTTCTGTTTTGTGTCTGGAGAGTTTCTCATGAGTAGGCTGGCCGTTTTTCTGGTTTTATAGTAAATCGTCAGTTGTATCCTCTGATTTTTGTCTGTAGGGATAACGTTTCTATTAACAATATCTTTCAGGACCCTTTCAGATATTGAAAGGATATTGTTACTAGAAACGTTATCCCTACAGACAAAAATCAGAGGATACAACTGACGATTTATTATAAAACCAGAAAAACGGCCAGCCTACTCATGAGAAACTCTCCAGACACAAAACAGAACGCTTTAAAAGAGACTAACGTCGTCTATGCCTTCAAATGCCCACTTGGGGACTGTAAGCTCCAAAAAACCCAGTATATAGGCAAGACAACAACATCTCTTTCTAGGCGTTTAACGATGCATAAGCAACAGGGCTCCATTAAGGAACATATAATCTCTTCCCACAACCAAACCACCGCCAGAGAAATCCTAGTAAACAACACAGAAATCATCGATAGATACAGCGATAGCAGGCGGCTTGACGTTTGCGAGGCACTACACATCAAGAAGTCAACACCAGCAATCAACAGCCAATTATTGCACAACTATATTCTACCCACCTCAAGACTCCGCTCCAATATAGAAGCATCAAGAAATATGGACCAATAGGCTTTCTACAAACACTTCTATTCAATATCCATTGTTTCGTGTTCTGTCTTGTGTTGATGAAATTAATACCCTATTAATACTCTTGTTCTGTCTTGTGTTGATGAAATTAATACCCTATTAATACCACACTTTGTTCTGTCTTGTGTTAATGCCACATCACCCCTTCCACCTCACTCAAATGTAGATATAAAATCGGAGATACGTAAGTTCTATTCAGTTGTGTATTTGTGAACTAAAGTCTTTGAAAATGTAATAAGTTTTACGAAACGCGCCCGTGTCGCGTCAGACTAGAAATAAAAATGAATTTTGGAGAATTGATTTTTGATTTACCTCCAACAGTGAAGCGTAATGTACGAAAGATTGAGAAAATTCGTGTTCGAATTATTAATCTTACTTTTTCGGTCATATTTAATAATATATGTCTACAGGAAAGACTGCTACCAAAATATACTAATATATATATATATATATATATATATATATATATATATATATATATATATATATATATATATATATATATATATATATATATATATATATATATATATATATATATATATATATATATATATATATATATATATATATATATATATATATATATATATATATATATATATATATATATATATATATATATATATATATATATATATATATATATATATATATATATATATATATTATTAAATATGACCGAAAAAGTAAGATTAATAATTCTAACAAGAATTTTCTCAATCTTTCGTACATTTCTTTTCACTGTTGGAGGTAAATCAAAAATCAATTCTCCAAAATTCATTTTTATTTCTAGTCTGACGCGACACGAGCGCGTTTCGTAAAACTTATTACATTTTCAAAGATTTTAGTTTACAAATACACAACTGAATAGAACTTACGCATCTCCGATTTTATATCTACATTTGAGTGAGGTGGATGGGGTGAGGTGGCATAAATAGGGTATTAATTTCATCAACACAAGACAGAACAAGAGGTGGCATTAATAGGGTATTAATTTCATCAACACAAGACAGAACACGAAACAATGGGTATTGAATAGAAGTGTTTGTAGAAAGCCTATTGGTCCATATTTCTTGATGCTTCTATATTGGAGCGGAGTC